AAAAAAAAAAAAAAAAAAAAAAGAGCTCCCGACTTATTGCCAAATGACCAATTGGAGCACACACAACACATGAATAATGTGTGCACTTGGTAACAGACCTGGCTGTGTCTAATACAAATCTTCATCAATCAATACATCGTTTGTTGCAACCTACGTACTTTCTGCACTTGCATGAAATAAAGAAACGTTCTCTGAATTTTGTTGCCTGTAATTTTTCAACGCTTATGTGTGGACTATAATTCTTTCTTTTTTTGAACACATCCTGTTTTGTTTTTTCCAGTGCTAGAGATCGAACTCAGGACCTTGCACTTGTGAGTCAGGCAGCGGAACCACTGAGCTAAATCCCCGGCCCTCTTTCTTTTTTTGAGACAAGCTCTCACTATGCAGTTCAGGCTGGCCTTGAGCTTGTGATCCTCCTGCCTCAGCCTCCCAAGTGCTAGGATTATAGGCGTGGGCAGTCAATCGTAACTGTCATCATTTTTGTTGCCACTCCTGTCATCTGAGTCTTCAGTTAACACTTGATTTAATGGAAACTTTGTAAAGCCCAGCAGGCAGGAGGTCATGACTTGGGTGAAGAATTCATGCCATAAAATCACTGACAGCTGTGTTGCCGATGCACTAGGAGCAGGCTACATGGACAAGAAGGGCTCATTTAAGGAGAGCTCTACTGCTGGACAGGAGGGACTGGGGCCGATGGTTCTACAGGAAATGAGTCGCAAAAAATTCAGGCCAGAGTTCAGGGTTTGGAGAGTTGGGAAGATGCTCCAGAAAAGAACAAGGCTGTAGGTGAAAAGATGGAAACCGCTGAACGTGAAAAAAATGAGAGCTCTGAAAATAAGCCCTACTGTATCTTTTGGAACAAAAATTAATATAGGACCTGGTTTTATGTGGGGGGAAATATGGTATAATATTCTACAAGTTCTTCAAAAGTTAAGTAAAATTAGTAAATGAAATCTCAGTACCTTCCCAAAAGACATCCCCTCCCCAAAAGGACCTTGAACTGCTTGCCACTCAGACACCCAAAGAAATCACAGGATCTGTGTGGCATGGTGGCACGTGCCTGTTGTCCCAGCTGCTGAGGAGGCTGAGGCAGGAGGATCACAAGGTCCATACGAGCTTGAACAATTTAGAAAGACCATCTCAAGACAGTTTCTTTAAGAGTCTAGGAGTGCAGCTCAATGCTACAGCACTTGCCTACCATGCGTGAAGCCCTGGGTTCAATACCTAGCACAATGAAAGAAAGGGAGGAAGGAAAGACAAACAAACAGAATTCCAAATGTGAGAGTGAAATGTCCAGGATGTGCTCTAAATAATCCATGCAGATGGGAGGGGCGCAGATGAATAAACTGGGTCATAGGTTGACGACCGTTGCAACTTGGTAATGGCTGAGTAGAAAGAGATCCCTTTTTCTGTCCTTTCACAAATGTGTAAAACTCCACAGAATAAGAAATATCGAGGTGGGCCTGGTGGCACATGCATGTAATCCCAGTACTCAGGAAGCTGAAACAGGAGGATTGCTTTGAGTTTGGGGCCAGCCTGGACTACATCGCGAGACCTCGTCTCAAAAAAAAAAAAGGCCAGGGATTTAGCTCAGTGACACCATGCCTGCCTTGAAAATTCAAGGTCCGGAGTTTGATCCCCAGTACTGCAAAAAAAAAAAAAAAATTGAAATCATCAGTGTGATCTGAGATATATATATACAACTTTAATTCCCTCTCCCTCTTCTCTGGTCTTCACTTATCCAATGGCATTTTCTAGGCTGTCCTCTGGTACCCAGGGGTCCCTACTCCAGTTTTTCCACATCACAGCAGAGAAACCACTGCTCCCTGGAGCTTCAGCTCAAAATTCCTTCCTCAGGGCTGGGGATTTAGCCTAGTGATACTGAGCCTGCCTTCCAAGTGCAAGGTCCTGAGTTGAATTCCTGGTACCCAAAAAACAAACAAACAAATGCTGGCGGGGGTGTGGGGAGAAAGGAACCCTTCTCCATTGTTGGTGGGAGTGCAGACTGGTGCAACTACTGTGGAAATCAGTATGGAGATACCTCAAAGAACTTGGCTTAGAGGTCCCATTTGACCCAGCTATCCCCCTGCTGGGTAGCTTCCC